AGCTCGTATCGCCAGTGCAGCATGGCTACGAGTCGCTCCCGCCGTCGCACTTCGTCGCAGAACATTTAGATTGGCCTGCTCGCACTTTGTCGCGCTTTCTGAGCTACCTACATGGAAGAGACTCTTACTGAAGCATGGTCTTCTAAGTAGGCGAGATCTGTTCAGTACGTGCGATAACCCCTCCACTCTCGCCCGCAACTCGCCTCAGGACCTCGTCCACGACTATTTCCACGTCAAATACTGAGATGTCGGCTTCCAATCGTAAACGACAAGCTAGTCAATCTGGGCAGGTTATGAACGCGAAACGAAGGGCCCAGGAGTTAGTCGCGACGCGAAGCCCAGAAGATCACCATCAAATTCGTGGCCAACGTTGCTGCAACTGTGCATCTCCAACACCCCGCACCTTGCCCTCTTGTTCTGAGTGCCAGCACACTATATGTACAAGATGTCCTGTCGATGATCCGCTCCTTCTGTTTCCTCGCCTGGTGCTTGTCCAACAGCGATATGAGGATATGAGCAATGAGGATGAGGATGGGAATCTAAGAATGGGGTTACCTACATTCCGGAGAGATCAAGAACACGAGATGGGCCATAACGCCGAAGAGGGGGAGCATCAGCAAGAACTACAGTTACAATCACCGCCACAGCCGACCGAGAAGCAACGACAAGTGGAAACAGGCGTACCCAGCAAGCGCAGTTTGAACATGAACAAATGTGAACGCTGTAGGTTGGATAAAAAGAAGGTGTGTTGTCTCCCTATCCTTATCACTGTATACACCAGTGCAGCTTTTGAAGACAACAAATATTTGTGACTACTACTATGTCTCACCTAAACAACCCGAACCAAATACTAACAAAGGAGTGATAGTGTCTTCCCGTGGATCGAGTCTGGCCGACAAGGTGTGATCTCTGCATCAAGAAGGGCTTTTCTTGTTCAGAAAGCAAGAGAGTAGTTCGCTCGACTAAACATGCACCCGCCACCCCACCCTCACCGATTAACACAACTCCTCCACCGACAACCACTTCTGTCTCTTTTGAAGAGCGCCTCAAGCAATGGTAAGTGTATCTTTGTGCAGAGATTATAATGTAAGATCGAGAGAACATAAAGCTAATTTCCTTTCTGCAGGAGCTTTCTCTTAAGTTATCGCAAGATGATGCTAGCGGCTAAGAATCGGCTCCAAAATCTAGAGAATGATTTGACTTCTCTCTTCTGGTCACTAAAGCCTACTACCAAAGATATTGGATCAAGCTCGTATTCTGGGTTTTCGCATTTTGCAGAGCTTGACCTTGCCAACATCCTCTACCGGCATTCTAATAAGCTCCTCACACAGAAATCAACGTCACAGGATCTTCCAGGCTGGTTTCTCATCACTCATCTCGATCAATGTTCCCTTTTAGAAGACGAGTTTTTCGCCTGCTCCGAGTGCTCCACTGAAAATTCGAGATCAAGCCCTAGTAGATGGGGAAGTCCTCAAGATACATGTGGTGAACTGTTGTTACTTCAACATCGCGCCATCTGTCACGACGATTACGAAGACTGCAACGACTACTCCGGTGAATATTGGGACGCACATGTACGTTTATCACATGAAGTACAAAAGCGGGCAAGTGAGTTGTTCGAGTCCTACGGACTCTACGGAAGCGCGGAGTGCGCAAAGAGCTTTGGCGTCTACCATCCCGATGTACTTTGGAAGCATATACGCAACTCTACTAAAGATCTCTCCGATAGGGATTGTCTAGAGAGATCTCAGCTGCACATGTGTATGGACGATCCCGGTTATCTTGGCCTCGACGATTTGGATGTCTCTGAGCTGAAAGATAGGCAGGACATTCTTGGAAGAACGCCTCTACTGATAGCATGCCGGGAAGGATGGTACGAGGATGTGGATATCTTATTGGAAGAGGAAGCAGCAGACCCTGGGCTCACCACCATATATGGCAGCCTTCCCTTACACTACGCAGCTGCGAAGGACTCGATCGATATCTGCCGGCTATTGTTATCGCATAAGACGAGATTTGACATCAAAGCCAAGGACTGCGTGGGCAAGACCGCATTAGACTATGCAAGGGAGAAGGGACATTACGAAGTAGTAGAACTGTTGTCTGCTGAATACGCAGCAGCAGATCAAGCACTTAAAGAGCTGGAAAGACCACGTAGCCTCCGGGCGTGATCAGAAAACCATGAGGTGCAGGGGTCGTATTTTGCATAAAGAGCGACAACATCGCGAAGTCCAGATCTGGTACATGAGCGAACCTTAAGTTTTTCGCGGTAGGGAACGCTTCGTCGGGGTATACATCGATTCAGTGCCTACAAGGGCTACATGCAACCCACATCCTTCACTCCAAGTCCATCCTAGCTATTCCAACCCCGCGCTCAAGACATCAACAAGTTTCAGCCCTGTCACACAACATATCCCACAACATGACCAGGCGTCGAGCGGCGAGCGGGGAAGCGTGAGATAAGCACCGGGATCGATCGATTAAGAGCACCTGCAGAGCCACGCTGCTTCGCCTACGCCTGCATCAACGACCAAATGCCACTGAATCCGGGGTCTCGGAACCGACATCGCTGGCGTTTTACACAACCGCCGTATCTCGACATGTGGTGGAAGAAGGCCGAGCCATATGCCGTACCACGCCGTTCAGTGGGGGCGATGAAAAGACAGTGCTGACACATGATCGTATTCCTAACCGCTATCACGAAGGCGATGCAGCATGTGCAGATGTTGAATATCGAAAGCGAGTGGTGAAGGAGGGTCGGAAAGGCATGTGTTTGGCGACGTGTCAGATGAATAGAGTTTGGGGATGTGACTAGAGAACTCACACTGCTGCCGCTGTTGTCAGAGGGAGAACTACTGCGGTGAGGAATGTCGTGGGTTGTAATGCGATGCGGCACGAGCCGTAGCTTGTTGGCACTGCAGTAGTCATGGCGTTGCGGCACCACGCTATTCGCTTGAGAAGACGTCAGGTTGGGGTGTGGGGAAAGATAGACATCACTCTACCAACATCTCTTCTCGATAACGATCTAGAATCTGAAGAGAAAGTGTCAAGTGACAGAGATTATAGTCAACTCGAAACATCAACTCCCATCACCGCCTTCCGCGGACGCCACGTCTCAGCTGCCGGCCGGGAGAGCCGTCATGCACCCAAGATAGAATGACCTACATACACGCCTGCCCTCTCGTATGCACGATCTTCCGAGATTCATCTTCGCCGCATATGCAATGTCTCATGTAAACAATCACTGTTCGTCATCAGACCTGCGTTGCGCATTCTCCGATCGGAAGATCGTCCTCGGAACTGCCTGAACCGAAGGGAAAGTCTTCCGCAACATATGCCTGACCTTCAGTATGCATGTACAGTCGCGCAGCCTACAGCTGACTCAAGCGCGTAACGAGAGGGAGAGGAAGTGTGGACGATGACCGGCATCTAACATGTGGAAACGCCCAAATGCACAGCCCGCTCAAATGCCATACCAAACCATACCGCATTCCAACACTGACTGACAGATGACACTTTAGACTCGCCAGTAACCTTGCACACCCTCCCCTGTCCCACCATCTTTACCATTTCGCTTCCACCAATCTGAGTAACACTCGCTTCCCCCATCGCACAACCGCAGCCAGCAAAGATCCCCACTGTGACGCAAGGAGACAAGAGTATGTGTGGTACAACCGGTCCCGCCCATCTTTCGCTTGCAAAAGCTCCCGTGGTGACACAACGTCCTGCAGTTCCAGAAGCCGGATACGAGTAAGCGCGGGCTGCGCAGTGAAAGATGGATAGCCCTACGTTGCTTGCAGCACGCGGATGTTGTACAAACGTCCGCATAGTACAGCCAGCCACCGCCATTAGGTACGGCCTCGAGGGTCATCTGCCGCGCTAGGAATGCAGAACATGGTGGGGTTCTCGATGCTTATCTGTGATCGATATGTGGGTTTGGTTAGTAATGAGACAGTGAGAAACTGGGCAAGAGAATGTTGCGCGTTGAGGTGAAAGAGGCTTGTTTGTGCAGATGCAATGGCGTGATGGAACGGGGTATGAGGTGCAGTACTGTGCATCACTGTGCGTCGGGGACTTTGCAGGAAGAAAAGGCGTAGTCATGTGCCGGGCTGGGCGGTGTAATGGCTTGACCGGGAGCAGAGGTTGTTTGCGCGCAGTTTGCTGCGGGCTGCTTCCCGCCGGCAAGCGCGCCATGGCTACTATCACAGATGAGGAAGAAGGAAGAAGACACCACAATCAGGTTTGAACAAAGTATGTGTGCTTGGCTAGGTGTTTGAATTGATGTTGAGCGCTTGTTGCATCTTCTCTCGAGGACACGCTAAACTAAGGCTGTTGGTACAACACACCCATTGACCCCCCATCCGTACCACCTCCGTAGACCAATTACAAAGTATCAATACTGAAACATGTCCGAAGAAGCTTAATCCTTCCTTCTACTACTACCAAAAGGGTAACAAAGACCCACGACTGCGCTTGCCCCCTCGAGTCCCAGACAAGGACGAGTAAAGGTATAGCCGCCGAAACCAAAGAATTGGTTTTGAACGCAAGGAAAAGAGTACAGAGATTGTGAAAAGAGACTTGGCTGAAGAGCCACCGCTGCGTGAATCATGATGTGATGATGACGCTCGCTTTTATCGCCGCAGACCTTTTTGGAACCGCCCAAACACCAAACAAGTAATCCCAGTGAAGGGAAAGCGCAGTACAGACAGACCACTGTACTGCGCAAGACAAGAAAAGCCTCTCTAATAATTGTTGTATCAACATAGGAAATTCGTGACTCTGTGATGAGAGCCGTGGTGGTCGTGGCTCCAATGAAGGGCCGAGATCTTGTTGTCATACAGTCGTACACTTTCGTAGAACATGCCCCTTGGGCCCGACAAGCACAAGGGGAGGGATAGTAAGGGTACAGGTTTGTGCGCAGGATAGAAAGACATTACTCGCACGCAATTATCGACAGGGGAGAAAGGAAAAGGGTTGCCCGTTTTGTTGGAGGTTGGGGTTTAGTGGCCCCGGACGCCACCCGACGAACGACCGAGAAGGGTACCAGGGAACCGTAGGTCGCTAAGGAATTTGAAAAAGGCACGCTTGCGCGAAGGCGTTTTCGGGAGTAATGCGGCCGCCTGTTGCATGGGACCGACAATGTCTTCATCGCCGAGTTGGGGGAATTTTCCCTCGCTCTTGGGGTCGTGCAGCGTTGGCATCTTGCTAAGAGGGCCTGGCTCCGTGGGTGAATAGGGAGCGAGCTCCTGGCCGGTGGCAGCCGCATGTGACTTGGCCAGATCGTGGTTCTTCTTCCATTCGGCGTCGATTTCAGCCCACTTTTGCTCGGTAAGAAGGTAGTGCCTGGATGTCACTCCATAGTGTTCCGCGGTTCGCACTTGGTGCTTCGCGTAGTTGCGCCGTGCTTGCGCCCATTCGGCAAGGTGCTCTTCGATGGACGCGGCAGTGCATACCTCAGGGACGTAGGGCTCGGGTAGGATGGTGAAGTTCGCATGACCCAATTCCATGGCCCACTTGTCCCTTGGGTCGGCGAGCATGAGACGGGGTATGTCGGATGAGGGAACCATGTACCCGGCATTCGGTCCTCGGATTGAGGCAAAGGATGTCTTTGAGGACAGAGGGGGCGTAGGGTATGTGCGCATTGGCGGGGTGCCGGCCGGGGTAGGGCCCACAGATTGGGCTGCGTCTGCGACTGCTGGCGACTGCAGTGGCGACGACGCTGGTAGGTCATCGTTCCGGCAGTTCACAAGCAGCGGCGGTAATAGTGGCGTCGTGGCATAGCGCTCCCGTTCCACCTCCTCAGGGTCAATCTCCATGGCGTTGGCCTTGTTGACGTCGATGGCCATTGGCGTAGGCGCATCATCGCTCAGTTGTTCCTTGCTTGCCAGGGCAGGCGTAGAAGTTGGCGACGCGTAGTCTTCTGGAAGATCGACGGTCGAGACATGGTGGATAGAACCAGCGAGCGACGAGGATCGCGTAGAAGGAACCCTTGAGGGGGTTGCGCTGCGTGAAACTCTGCTGAGGGTCGAGCTACGGTCGCGCACTCTGCGCGACAACGAGGGAAAGCGCCTCTCGAGCTTGCCGGCGATGCTGTGCGCGGAAGCCTCCAAGGACCGTCGGCGCTTGGCCAATCGCAGTTCCGAGTCGCAAGTGGTGAAGTACTCGTCCTGAGGCTCGTAGGCTTGGGATATCCTGCAGTCTTGCGCGTGGCTGTAGGTGCCTCCGACGTCACCTAGACGTGGATTAGTATGGCGAACACGGACGAATCGCGCGTAATACTTACAAGAGCAGCGGTACGGGTCCTCACTGCCATAGTCGTATTCACGCTCAAGAGGTTCCTCGGTAAGCTTGGGCAGCTTGCCTGAGCTGTTAGGGGCCTCGGTGGGTTCGTAGGTTGGCGGGCTTGACGACAATGACGAAGCCGAGCTGGGAAAGCGAAAGTGGCCCCGGGTGTACTGACTTGGCGTGGGCGGTGTCGAGCACTCGGACGCCGAGTAGAAACCAGAGTCGGCATTGGAGTAGATGGACGCAGTCGGGTCGTCGTACATGTTGAGTGAGCTTTTGGAAGACTTGCGGGCAGCGATAAGCTGGGGAAGCTGGAGAGGTTTAAGGTCGTGCATGGTGGTTGTTGGTTCTTTTGGCGGTCGGGACGTGACGTGAATGGGCGCGAGCGACCAGGATCACATCACCAGCTTTCTCAAGCAGCTATGCGCGGGCGCGACAATACGCCAGCACGTCGGGGTTGCGGCGCGCTGCTTTGGGACGGAGAGGCGGTCGGGCAATGTTTGAGAGGATGCCACGATAGCCGACCACGTATGTCGCTATGTACTCTTCGGCCTGTTTATGCTGCAGCAGAGACGTCTCTGGGGCTGGATGCGAAGTCAGCGCCTAATGCGGACGGCACGTGAGCGCGGTGGGCTCGGATAGGTCAAACTCACCGAGGCGCGCGAGATGATCAGACTGCAACCGGATTTGCGAGTGCAAGCGAGAGACAGCGCAGCGATAAGGCGTCGACTTGAATGGCGAGAGAGTGTGACGTGGGCAAGCAAGAGAAACGGGCGGTGGACGGGGTGTGGGATAGTCGAGCATTTCTGTGTGGACAGCGACCGCACGGGTTCCACTGCTACGGTGCAACTCAAGCCTGACCTTGCGCCTGTCTCGATCGGGCATGGCCGCCCGGCATGTCGACTGCTTCCGCGCGACTCAGATAGCCCGGTACACGAGGCCGTGACACTGACACCAGCCCTGGATTGTCTCCGCGCAGCCAGCACGCCAGGGCGCCGTCGCTTCAAGGTCCCCCAGCCTTCAATCCGCCGTTTAGACCACCGCGTCCGTGTCGCTACAGCCTGACCACAGCAGGTGGCTTGAATCAAACCCTACTCAACAGTACGGGGCCTGCCTCGGTGTTGAATTTTCACCTGCCCAACCTAATTATGCGATATGTCGTTGGTGGAGGCGCAACAAATCATCCCTGGCCGTTCCCACTCACGCACTTTAAACTTTGTCGTCGTGGGAAAGCCTCTGAGCAAGCCATGCAGGAACAGACGCTCAGTCACATCGTCCTCTCCAGCCTTCACCGATCGACGACTCGTGGTGTTGAACGGTGCCTCGTCTGTATTGCAAAGTGCCGTACCACCAGCGCTGTGGTTGTCATCCGCTGTCTACCACTCAACTACTGCGACCGCAACCGTGGCTGCCACTTGACAGACTCGTTTATCGGGCGGTGCAAAGGAACCGGCGTGGTTCGCCAGGCCCTTCTGCCCTCCCGCCGTTCTTCTTGCGCCGTTCTTCTGGCCCTTTGCCGTCTCGCAGCAGTGACATCGACAGGCATCTTCTAGTAGAGTCCATTCCATGTCGCTTCTCCCGCCTCTATCCCGTGTCACGCCTATCCACCGATTGGCCCACTCTGAATCGTCAAGATCGGCCAAGGAGGCTGTGACATGTAACCGTGAAAACAAACAAACAAAGCCTCACGATCTTCAAAACACTGACTGCTCCAACTGAGTCCGTGTCTCAAACACGATGCCTTATTGACGAGTCAAGCGGTCGATCACAACGTTCTGCGACAAAACAAGGCGCGACAACACAACTTCGTGTGGGCGGTACCTGACAGGATTCCCGGAACTTTCCCAGAGGAGGTTGGGACAGTCTTTCAGCCCAATGAAAATCCTCCAGACAAATCGGGGAACTTGTTGGAAGCGCTAGACCGTTGGGCCGTTGCTCATTGGCGTTCAAGCCCCTGACGCACTATCTTCCATTCCTTCTCCCCGGTGCCTTGCTGTCGCTTGGCTCAACTCCCTGTTCGCACGCTGAGCAAGCCTCACACCGCCAGCGCATTGTCTAGCTGAACGTCCGCCCGTATGGCGTTTCTCGTAGCGGCCGGCAACCTTGCCGACATGTACTTCGCGACCCACGATGCTATGTAAGCAGGGTGTCTCAATTCGAAGAGAATCGCGCGGTTTGATCGCCGTGCTGTACCTCACACGATCGAGCCCAGCAGAAGAAAAATCGGAGCGGGACTATTCTGTTCCAGGCTCTCGGGACCTCGCAGCATGACGACAGGGAGAAAAAGCAGCTGGTTCCGGTCTCAGGTCGGCAGGCGCCCCGCCTTCTTCGCTTGTCTCTCTCCTTGGCCAGACGACCGGACGGCACGGACATGCAGAAGCGGGAGAATACCGTTGCCAGTCCACCCATCCACACCGGCCGGCAACGCTCAACGTGCATGAAAGAACAGCCAGTTCAGTCTTAAAGCTGACTGCACACGGAAGAAGGAAATCCTGTACCTGAAAATTTTGCATGTTCTGGACAAACACGTGGCGGGCTCATATTGACATGCGCGCGCGCACTTTGCTCGCATTCAAAGACTGCATTTTCCCATATTGAACTGCTTTGCTGTGGAGGTGCGCGCAATCATTCCGACGGTTCGTCGCAGGATTTGGGCGAGACCGGTCTGGTGTTGCTGATCTCTCAATTTCACCGGATGATTCCCTAGACTAACGTGGCACTCCACCGACAGTACAATGCCGCGGCATGGACATGGGACATGGGGGTAACGACGAACGTGGAAGTACATCTACGGGGATCATTTTAGCTAGGCGCATGAGATGAATCAGCACACGACTTTGTGGAAACGATGATGTAATATTTCTCCATGTCAATGCTGTTGCGCGCTTTTCTTCTTGTCGGCAGAACGGAGTATCATTGCAGCGATGTCCATGTGCGATCGTGGTATTCCTGCAGAAACTTGGAAGAAAAGTAAGCAATTTTACGGTCGAAATCAAGAATCTGTGCGTGTGAACTGCCGTTTTCGATTAGCACGGAAGCCATGCGCTCAACGGCGTAGAAAAGGAAGAAGGCGTAGACTAGAGCTGCGAACCTGCGCTCGGGGACGGCCCCTCAGCAACATTCTCTTCCCGCCCAATCATAGCATTCGGACTTTCTGTCCACACAGCAGCGTTCGAAGAAGACGCGTTCTAGGCGACGTAATTGCCAGTAGGAGTACTCGCGCGGTGATGGATGCTCCTTAGTCACATGATTCGCTTTCGCTCGCATTCGCGTCCTCGATTGTGATGAGGTCAGATCCAGTATTTGCTCCATAGTAGTTTCTGCTCCTCGGAGCCTTCAAACTACGCAATGCATACTTTGGTTAGCCCATGTTACATTTCTGCAGCCCAGCCTCCATGGAAAGTCTTGGGTTACGCGTACCTGGAAGTCGTTCTTGATTATGTTTGTAAAACCTTCCGAAAGCTTAGGCTCGCGGTATCTGGAAGCAAAGCCACTGAACGCAACGTGCGGCAGGATAGTACGAGATTCGCGGTTCGTCTTTGGTGGAGATCGGATGTTAGCATGGGAGTTTCTCCGTGTGGTAATGGGATTTCAAGGATTCCGGATGTTCCGCACAACCAATTTCCACATCGGATAGTGTGATAATAGGTTTGAAGCGACCGCAAAGTCTATCTTCCGGCACTCACACACGGGAGGAGGCTCAGTAGGTAAACTTACTTCTGGACTAAGGTTCAATGCGCGGAACGTATCGTTGTGCTCGCACAGCTTTGGTGTCGCAGTAAAAAGTACGCAGCGGATGGGAACTTTCAGCTTCTGCGCCAACATAACCCACACAGCGCGTGTTTCTGGATCGGCGTTGGTATTGTCTGAACAGGTTAGCTTAGTATGCGGAATGTATTGGGGCCCCAGATCAACATGAACATACCGATAACCGCGCTCGTGCCTTCTTCGATGAGTGCAGTAGCAGCCTTTACGCACTTCTCGCGCTGTTTCAGAGTGTTACTCGGAGTATAGAAGGGTCACACGACACGTGCGGCAGGATAACTCAGTCAGCAGCTTACAGTCTTCAGAATGTCTTGGTTGACACGCCCGTATCCGAGTGGCTGTAGATGTTTCCAATAGAACGATGATTTACCTGAGCCCGGACTGCCGCAGAACATGACGATCTCGGGGCTTTCCGTTTGTGCAAAGGCGTTTGCTGCAGATAGAGTTAGCACACGGACGACGGGGAGACGGCTGAGAGCTTGCGTATCAGACTTACGTGCAGGTGTTGAGTCTTCAGCACGTACTCCCGTGTAAGCGGTCGGGTCAAAAGCCCTGACGAATGGTCGGGGATCTTCATGGCGGAAGTACTCTTCTGGCGTATGAAATGGTATACCGACATTAGCAGCAAAGTCTCTGCATAGACTTAGTATGCTGGTATCCATGAATGCAAGACTCGGGATCTTCACGAACCTGTCGACACACGAGTGGTCCTTTACACCGCCAGCCACCGCCTCGCGACCACCAGCATCCCCAACGAATACAGAGTTCTCTAGATCGATTGATTCTGCATTCTCAAGATCATAGTCCTCCAGTAGCTCATACCACATCCCGGTCCTGGGCTTCCTGTACCGGTCACGACTCGTCGCAGCGTAAATCGATATCGGAAAGTCGAGGTGGTTGAAGACTGCTGTCACCTTGGTCTTGAAGTCTGCTAGTCGCTTCTGATCTGACTTCACGGTCTTGGGGTCTGGCTTTAGACTGATTCCACCTTGATTGCTGATGATAGCGACAAGGAAGCCTTCTGCATGTAGCTCTTTCAGCCGTCCTGGAACGCTACTGTCCCACCACTTCCAGTCGTTTGCATCACGAGCGAATGTTTTCCCCGACGCAGATGTAATAAGTGTCGAGTCGAAGTCAAATGCTGCTATTCTGCGCCTGCCCTTCGTTGCCGACTGCGCTGCCACGCCAAAACGTCCGACTAGCAAGCTGTCTTTGACTATCCGCCAAGTCATCTTTTCTGGCTCTTTCTTTGAGGCAGGTGTAAAGAAATTGGCCACTGCCTTGCCTGAGTCATGTCAGCAACGACGCACATCTAGCGATGGCTGACGAACTTGTTGTAGTCGACTGTTGCCGCCGCTTCGATGGAGGTGGCGAGACGTCTTTTCCGTTAGAGCTCGGTCGCTTGCTGAGGCCAGGTCGAGTAGACATTTTGCAGTTTGTGTTATTGCCAAGGTGGGTGCATGGTGATGAACGTTGATCTCTGTTGATAAAGCAATGTCGGTGAAGTTGCTCGCTTGCGCTTTCCTTCGGCGCGAAACGCGACCTCGCGCGAGCACGTGCCTGAACTGAG